TATTTTCTCACTGGTTACTTCCTTCAAAAGCTTCAATTTCATTCAATTTGCCTTTAGTCCAGATCAGGCATGCAACCATCCCAAGCTAGGGCTCGCTGATCGGCAGCGAACATGTTCGGTTGCGAACCGTTCGGTGAACGAACATGTTCGGTTGCGAACCGTTTGGTGACCGAACATGTTCGGTTGCGAACCGTTCGGTCACCGAACTATCGGTTTGGTGCATGCCTAATGACAACGCGTCAAAAATAGCTCAGGACGAAAAGTCTAGTATTCAGGAAAAACAAATTTAGCAGATGCTGTGAAAAATTCCTACCGTCTTCTCCCTTCTGTAGTGCCGTTATGTGGTTCTTGAACTTTCTAGAATATATTTTCAGTTGTTAAAACGTTAACGATGATGACATATAAAAGATATTTTATATTTCATATATATATACCTAGCCAATCTCAACGTATACTGTACAGAACTTAAACCGGCTATAACTTCGCAACCAAGCCATGAGGGTATAAATCCTTTTTAGGCTTTTTCTTACAATCATTGACCCTATCGATCAGAAAAATGTGAGCTTAAAAAGCTTTGACCATTTGGGAAGGTTCCGTCGTAAGGGTCCACAATTATATATCTCCGCTGGGGATAAGACTCTTAATTTTTTATCGAACAAGCGTCTTATCCTTGTTATTTTCTTTGTTTTTCGACCATCTCGTCACGTGATACTGAGGAAAAATGAAAAATCGATTATAACGCTTGCATTCATCGGGAACCGTATAAGTTTCAAACGACAGCGCTATAGATCAACTATTCCAAGAATATTCTAGTTATTGAGAAAACTACTGACGAAATGTTCTAACAAAAGGAATAGGAGCGCTTGTTTTTGAGCGCGGTAAGGGTAGGAAAGCATCATGAGGTCCTTTTTGAGGTTCTATTCAGAATCAGCACAAAAAACTCAATCAAATCGGATAGGACTCCCTGTTTGCTGAAAACATTGTGTATAAACCGTCTAAAACTCAGTGGAAGTATTCAAATACTTCAAAAATGTTTGAAATGAAGTTGGAAATACACTTTTATACATAAAAGTTATTAGTTTATACAGCACGTCTGTATATGAAGCTACAAAAGTCTTTTAAATTCGTTGTTAAGGCAACGCTTAATATACTGATAAGCAGGTCTTACCGTTTTTCGACTAAGATTCTGGAACTTGAAAAATGAGAAAATACTCTGAAGTAGTTGAATCTATAAGTATAATTTTTACTAAATATTCAAGTTAACGAGGTGTATACAATGAAAAAGGTGGAAATTTTGAAAAACAGTAACGATATACCGATCTATATTCCGAACGTACATACAAAAATATAATTGTAAATAGACGACATGCAATTCATATTACAAGGAGAGGCCATGTAGCACTAAAATAAGAATTATGAAATGAATAATGTTGATTTAATTGATCAATTTGTGTATTCCATAAACTTGTTTTATTCTTATTGATATTTGTGAATATTGATGTGTATCATACAAAAATAACAGATTTTGTGCATGTCTTGAATATGATGAATAAATTATCCAAGATGCATGTTGATATTCATTTTTTGGCGGACTGAATCCTGATACTAAACATGATATTAATGCAATTAACGTACCAGCTAAATATGAATATTCAGTAAGAGGAAATATAACGGAAACTAATTCTCCAATACCTGAACAAGAAAATGAAATAAGACAAACAACAATATGATAACTAAGAAAACTAGCTCTTGGTTCAATTTCAATATATAACATTGATAAAAATAATAATGGATGAATAAATAAATGTAGTGTATCAATAACTGTTTTAGCAATAAAATATTGTAATGGATGGTAATGGTTATGTGTTTCACGTATATATGTACCATTAATCGTTTCAATACCAAATAAATGTTGACTTGATATACATATAGCTACACCAAAACTAAGACTTATCATAAAATAAATTGATGGAAATATTGCAATTTCATGTGATTGTGTTTGATTATTAAACAATTTTCCAATAAGCATGCCAAGAATAAAATAAGCAATGCAATATATTGATTCAATGGTATAATTTCTGATTATCAATTGTCTAAATGTACGTCGAATTACATATTCAATAGGTTTTAATATTGATTCATTACAATGTGTGGATAATAATGGTTGACGTCTTTCTATCACTGCTCCAGGCAGTAAGGATGATGTCACTACATTGTCAGAATAAGGATAATTTGTATTTTCATGAAAACGAAGAAGATAAATACAGTTTGAGTTACAGCAATGATTAGACGACTCTAAAACCTCGTCTCTCGTTTATCTTTCCCCATTGGTAGCTGGTTGTGGGTTCTTTTCAACAGCATCTAGAAGTTTATCATGAGCATCTGCTCGTCGACCTTGATAAGCTAACCATCCTTTAGGTGTGAAAAATAAAACATGATCAATATAATTAAATAACTTTTCACTCGGTAAATTCTTAAAACTTTTGAGCAAGCTTCGAAACAATGAAGAAAATTCTTGGTGTTTTTTGAAAGAGATGTGAAATTTCGACGAAAGCTTTTGAAATTTTCGTGAATATTCTTGCCATTTGAGAGAAAACTCTTGATTTTGTTTCAATAAAAATTTGAAATTGTGAAGAAAACTTTTGAACTTTTTTGTTTTAAATCTGCAGTATCTAGCAAAATTCAAAATTTGCATATTACCACCACGAAAAATACCGAAGATACCTTTTCTTTACCACAGAGATGCAGCTATAACGTTTTTTAGATGTAGAGTAGGTTTTTCACTACTGCGAAACGACTTGTATCTTCGTAATCTTGTCTCTGATACCTTCTGCTCTTGTGACAACGTGACGGAAGAGAGCCTTTCCCACTATGTATTGTAATGTCCTTTGTTTAATAATGCAAGAATTGCCCTACATCCTATATTTCAATCAGATTTTCTTCATCTTTCCTTTGACTTAAAAACGTTATTTCTGGAAATTCTCTAACATCTGAAGTAGTCAAGGTTATTGTCAAAGCTGTTATCGGCTATATCATTCAGATAGATCGTTTTACCGTGAATGGCTGATAAAGCACTTTTTTTCTTATTGATTACTGCTGCAGTTGAAAAAACACAACACATTTCGCTTCTAAAACTTGGGAAAAAAGCCCAACATTAGGCACTAGTCCCAAGTGTTCTCTCTCTTCCAAACGAAAAGAAATTTAATATTGCAAAATTTTTAGATAATCGAATGGCACTGTTGCCACTTAAAGCAAAAAGTGGGTACGAAAAAAATCCCGTGGGTAAAGAAAGTAATACTAGGCATACACCAGTTCCAATCTTAGGCTTGGAGAATTGGTATCAGTCCGGCATGGCAACAATCCCTCCAATCTCCAGTTCGACTTGGTATTAGTCGGACTGGTGGACCAGTTAGGCTTGGTCGAATGTAGTAGGCAAAAACTTCTGGTGTCGTTAACCCGATGACTCATCATTTTACAGTCTAATTTTGCGGTATCGCCATTTGGTACTAGTTTGCCTTTGTTGGTTTCGAAACTCTGCTAAATTAAATAATCGCCTAAACGTTGAACTTTTATGGAACTTTCAGGTTTTAAAAGACGGTTGGGTGTTTTTATAAGAAATCCCAGTATTAACTTTAAACGTTATGAATAATGGCGTATGATAATATATATATATCCGCCATTAGTCCTGTACTTTTTCACGATTGCTACCTCTTCTCATCATTGATCTGGAAAGCGTATGCAGTATTTGTCCTCTAATTAAAGTAATAGATTCATTTGGTAATGAATCTAGCGGCTTGTCCACGTAACATGACACTTAGCTGATCAAGTTTTTTGAATTGTTTTCATCGGAAAATCGATAGCGGCATATCACTAGAGGCAGATTTTAATGCTGCTCATGAATCTAACGTTTTTTTTGTAGAAAAAATTAATTTTCAATATAAAAATTTTAATTTAAAGTTTGTAAATGCGTTAATTTCAATTTTCTGACCTAGATGTTTTGTTCAAAAGATTTTAAAGGCACACCATTGAATCGAGAATCAATTCTCTACAAAACGGCTCATTGTGTTTTGAGATCTATCTTCCAGTCGAGAGAGAGTTACTGCTTGAACAATTTCAACTTCCCCCTTGGTCTGAAAGGCTCGGAAAATTTTCTGAACTTTATTTTCAACTGGAGTCTTTCCAGAAAACCTACACCTACACAGACTATAAGTATGAAGTTTTTGAACAACGTTTAGCGCCTAAAAATGGTGCGACAGAAAAGTGTGTGACACCTTTACGAAAAATGTCACGGCGTTACGTTTGTTTTTTTGCATTTTATACCCTAGCAAAAATAGTTCTGAGAAAAATTTTTTACCGTTGAATAGCTCGTTCGATGTTCTACAAAAATACTCTTGAAACTTTCCAGCTGGATAGATACTTTTGCGGGAGATTAGGGCTTTATTACCAATCCTTAAATTTAGGGTCGTTTTATGTCAGGCCGTTACGCACTGAAGAAGACTTTCTGAAAGTTCGAGACCTGAACAGAAAAACTGCATTTTTACATCATAAGTAGAGTAAAGCGAGCTGCGTTGAATGGTGTTAGAATTAACTTTCTAGCTCTTATAGTTTTTGAGTTAATTAACGATAAGTGTGTCAAAAATGCCACACCGTTTATCAGGTTGAGGAAAAAGTTCGTGCGCCGTGTTAAAATAATGACTTTTTATATATTTTTTTTTGTGTTTTTGATCTGGTTTTGTGGCTATTATGAAAATTTATTGATTTTTGAAAGGCTTGAACCATTTCTGTGCAGTTCGCGGTGT